ATAGGTCTTCTCTTCAACTACATCTACACCTTCACAACACAGATGGGCAATATAGTCGATCGACAGTCTATGTAGTATGGAAAATCATAATAATACTATAAAAAGTATGCGCAAGTTAATTACGAATTGATTCGAAACCGGACGTATATATGTATTTCGTTCCCAAGAAATTAATCTGAAGTATTGTTTCTAATAAAAATGACAAGAAAATATTTTTCTTTTACATAATCATGAAAATCTGATTAATTCTGAGAAAAAACTATTTTGGCTTTTTGTCGACATCAATTTGTTTTTCTTCATCAGAACACAAAAGAACTATTATTTAAATAATTTATCATCATATTCTTTGTCTAACATGTCTTTGTGGAATAATGAAAACATATTCATTCATTTATAACTAAGTATGTGTGATCATTTAGTCCTAATTTTTGCTCGTAAATATTATCATAAATAAATTAACAAATTTAAAGACTTCATTTTTATTTTATCCTGAAAAGAAAAAGAGAATTAACATAGAACATGCTATCAATTTTTTTTTGTTTTCTTTCATACATATGAATATAACAACAAAAAACTGTACAGAAAGAACACGGTCGGTGTCCATTCACCGAAAACTAGAGAAATACTAGCAAATGCGAGATTTACCATGAAAAGTTTGTACATAGAAAAAAAAAAGAAAAAATGTCAGTTTCACTGCATTGAATTGTTAATCACAGGTTGAAATAATTTTAGTATGTCTCTATAAAATATAAAGAAAAAGCTATGAAGAATGAGTCCAAGTATCGTACCTTTCTAGGATTTCTGAAAAAGAACTCATTAGTAGAATTTGAAGTTTTCAGAGCAGGTACATAATGATGAATAGAACAAAAGTTATCATTCTGGATGCTGTCTTCTATGAGATATTGGAATCCTACTGAGAATTTGACCTGCAAACCAGTACCAAACCAACCGATTCGTCGGTTAAAAAATTCGATCGGCTTCAGATATGACCGAGATCACAATGACCCACAACCCCTATTTCTTCAAGATGTTATGTTCGATCAAACTGAAAACGTTTTTAAAAACACTAGATACTGTTTGGAATGGGTAGTTTTTTACTTTTTTTGTCGTATGAAAATATTGAAGGTGCTGTGAAAAGCCTAAGGGTTTTTGAATAGAGCAATCAAAAATCAGTGAAATAATGCTTTTTGAAGCAAAGTATACTTATCCGAAGTAGATGTCAAAAAAGTCTTCAGCTCAATCGAATGTACTAGGTCGAAGCAACAGGAAATGTTTCTGCACTTTTGTTTCATGAAAAAATTGACCTGAGAAAAACGCAAAACAATATACAATAGTCATTAATTTGATTTTATAATATTTCAAGCTAATTTTCGAATCCCAAAATGTACTCAGTAGATAGGTACTACTTTAGACTATACAATAGTCACAAAGAAACAAAAATTTTAGATCGCAAAAAGCATGAGGCTTTAACATCAATGGTTGACATACTTATGCATATACATAACACCATAAGCATCGGGAGCTAAATCTTTTAAAACACGTTGTTGAGTACAGGATGTAACTGATGTATCATCAAAAGTCCACCATGTATCACCTTTAGCATCATATACTGTTGATGTATAGTGACCTAACAAAATATTTATACTAAAAAAGATAAAATGAAATTTAAAAAAATTGTTTTACCAACGTCACTTGAACCACCATGATGATTAATAACAGCAAAAAGACGATAATTAGCATGAGTAGCAATAATATTTTCTTCTTCGTTTATTTCCTAATAAAAGCATAATCTAGTTCATTCACAAATATTTTTCTTTTTTGTTATAAAAATAAATATATCTGAATGTGCTCATATTAATATAGATTCTAATTAACTTTTGTTTTCTTACCATTTCTTCGGATTCATTCTGTTCAATTTTTGCTCTTTTCGGTTCAATTATATGTAAAATTTGTTCGCGTTGTTTAAGTAAATCTTTTAAATTGGGTAATTCTTCTAAATAATTTATCATCGATGGTTGATAAGTATTTGATGAACAAAATGGATAAACATTTATTTCAATTGAACAATCAATTGGATGATCTTCTTTTGATACTGATTGAAGTTCTCCGTTAGAATTTTTTATTATATGCCATCGTTTTAAATAAAAAATAAAAATACTAGACATGCAAAAAAAAAAAAACAGACAAATGAAATTTGAATAAAATCTCGGATTTTTTCTCTTGTTATATTACCGAGGTAATCTTTCGAGATTATATTTAATATGTTTCCTTTGATTTGATTGACAATTGTCACAGTAACAACCATCCATGGTTTCAGATGCAAAATAATTTTCAAGTAAATCAGTTAAAGAATTATTTTTAGCTGTTTTAGATTCTTCATCTGTTACATGTATAAGTAAAGCTGTATGAATTTCTGTTTTGATTGTTGACATACCACAGCTATTCAAAAGGAAATATAATATCCGTAAAATAACCTTGAGGAATTTTTTGATTGTTCAGCTTGATGATTTTTTTCTTTTCAGAAAAAAAAAAGATTTTGTGTTTGAAAGAAAGGAAAAAAGATGTTTTAACAATATTATGATGAGGCCTGGAAAATAGTTACTTTGACAACTCTCAAGAATATGAATATCTGTTACTGTTAAGTTCAAGAGAATATTGCTTTTAAGGAAAGTAAAATTATATATTTTTTTATTTCTTACGTACATTTCACAACAACGTTCAGTAGCTAAACAAAATTGAAAATTATTTGTTGTTGGATCGACTATTTTATGTTTAAATAATAATGACTGTTCATTTATTTGATTTTTAATAGCATCGATTTCATCAGTTATCAATGAAATAACAAGATTAAGAAATTCATGTGAATCCTAGAACAATATAAAAATACAAAAAAAAATGTTATTTTATTCTTTTGATTCGATCACAAACAATAATAACATTCATTGTTTTTTCTTCGATTAAATGTTGAAAAAAAAATTTACTAGTAAATCTAAACAAACGATTAAATAATATTGTTCATTTTTCTCGACGCCAATACTAATGCCTGAGGTTATCTAATTGCGTGCTACTTCGGTCGTTCTTCCTTCCCGCTTGCTCGTTTTCTCTTTTTCTTTCTTAGCGAGCATACTTTTTTACCTTCAACGAGCTAAAACCGACAATAGAGAATGAACATGTTCACACTCATATATAAGAAAGAAGTGTTTTATACACATGAACAATGTTCAAAGAAGAACAAATCAAGCGTCTTAATTCTAGTCCGTTAAAACCAAATACTGATATTCAAATAGTTGTTAATCGTCTCGATATGTTACCTACAACAACAACAACAACAACAGCAGTAACAACATCAAGAAGAACAAAAATCAATCGAGCAAAATTTCCTTTTTTAAATGTTCAAAGATTAACACGAATGCCATCAAACATAACTATTGAACGGTGCTGTTTTCTTTTAATTCATCTACTTTTCTATGTTATTATCCTTACCATTGTTTATATAAGACTTGAACAATTTACTAGTAAACAAGAAAAAATTTTTCTTGCCTTAAGTTCAAACGATAATTTAACTCTTCATGAAACACTTCAACATCGTTCACTTAATTGTAATCAGTAAGTTTGTTTTATTAAAATCAAATCTATCATTCAGGTACATTGATTTAAACACAAAATAAATCTATAACTAAAAATCTGCTAGTCTCATATATTTAAATAATGACTCGTTTCGTATCAATGAGGATTAAAACAATAAAAGAACTCGTTTCTCTATCCAACACTTCTGTGAAACAGACACATATTGTTAGTTAAATGTATATTGTCAGATGTATGAAATCAAATTTCCTCAATTCCTTGTCTTATAAATAATATATATTTTTTTGTTTTGAAAGTATATCTCATTCTGTAAATCATGCTGATTGTTCATGTCAAAATCTTCCACATCCAAAACGAAATCGAACAACACATTGTTTACAAATACAGGTTGGATTAGTGGAAATATTAGAAAATGTTTTTTGTCTTAATGATGGATATCCTCAATGGTTAATTATTCAAAATCGACAAACAAATTCCATTGATTTTAATCGAACATGGGTTGAATATCGACGAGGTTTTGGTAATGTTTTTAATCAAACTGATTTTTGGATTGGTAATGAAAATCTTCATTGGTTAACAACTACTTATTCATGTAGATTAAAAATTGAACTAACCGATTGGTATAATGAAACACGACAAGCAATATATGAAATATTTCATATTGCTAATCAAAAAGATGGTTATAGAATACAAATTGGTGGATATCACGGTGATATGGAGGGACCAAAAAAAATTGATAGTAAGAAGATTTTCTTAAAATTTTCCAGAGCATTTTGTTTTTTAGCATTTTATATAAGTTGAAAAGAGAAATATTAGAAAATTATTTAATTAATATGAATAATTGCAGTTTATCTTATTTTTTTTTTAATAGGTTTTTCTCGTTGGCATTATAATGCTCGTTTTTCTACGTATGATCATTATGCTACTGGTACAAATTGTCCAAAACATCATGGTGGTGGCGGATGGTGGTATCATTCTGGTATAGAATGTGCACATGTACATCTCAATGGTCGATTTCCAACACATTCTGATGGACTTGTTCCATTTAATACAGGTATTTTATGGATAGGTTGGAAACCTGACCGACATTATTCATTTCAACGTGTAACTATGTCTATTCAATCGAAATCTAATCATCCTCGTCTATCCCATCAAAATTAATTTAATTCTTACTTGTTGACGAGATCCGAGAAAATTGCCAGAATGTTTTTCAACGGCTTTTTTCAAATTAATTAACGCTTGCGATTCAACTGTTCGTTCATCATCTGTTAATTGAGTTGTTGTACTATGTTGCGATTGTGTTGATTGACGATCTTGTAAAAGAGCAAGAATTTTTAAGACACAACTAAAAAAAGGAAAAAACATAGTTTTTTGTATGTGTGATAGGTGAGTAATGACAAAAAAAGATTATTATTTTACAGATATATTGTATTTTCTTCAAGTAATGATGATGTTATTAGTTCAGAATTTGTAACCATTAAATCATAACGAAATGGATCAATATTTAATAAACACTGAAGTATAGCATTCATATAGCAAGTTGCACCAATATTTTTTAAACTTGACAAAAAAAAATCGTCAAATAATTTTTATTGTTTAAATTTCAAAAAAAAACAAGATTTTTCTTATCTCTTACCCTTTTTTTCGTAAATTCATGGTTGTTGTTACTGCTGTGGATAATGATATATCAGCTGATGATTGATTATCAAGTTTTTTTGTTGGATATGGTGAATCACGCCAATCATATAAATATTCTTCATCCTGATCATCATCATCATTCCGAAAACGTGTATTATTATGAAGTGGTTTAGAATAAATATTTGATAATGAACTAATTCGTGATTCACCATTGGATATATTTCGTTTTAATTTATTATCTGTTTTATGATAGAAATAAGGTGATGTTGTATTTGTTGCATGCTGAAAACGAATTGATGATATTGAAAATTGATTTTCATTTGTTCGTTTTCGTCTGAAAAATTTTTAATTATAAATAATAATGATTGATATGAACTTACGATTGTTGTTGAAGTTGAGTTGTATGATCAGTATTTTCATCAATTGAATTATGATGATGATCATATTTTGAATGAGGATAAAAATTCGAAGCACTGAAATTTAAAATAATGTATTGAATATGAGCTGTTAATTCAAATTATTCTAGATATATGTATGGAAATCCAACGTTCTGAGTTTCACAGGATTTTTCAGTAAAGAAAAATTAGCGTAGCATCGAAATAAAGTCTAGTTAATAAATAATGGTCGGATGAAAAGAAGTACTCTCTCTTCTTTTTAGTCAGCTCTAGTTTTCGAAGAAAGTACAACCGATTCGCATGAAATTTTTAGCATAGATACAGTATTTAAAATAAGGAGTCGCATGTTCAAGGAAGAAAAAATTCAAACAAAGTTCTCACAAATTTTTATAGGAAACCATGGCTTTCCATAGTACTAGGTCGATCCATTTTACGATCTACATCTTACTTTGTCGGATTAGACTGAAAATTATTTTTGGAAATACTTTAGGCTGTCTCAGAGAGCTGTCTTTAAGCTCTTTTGAAAATTCCCCTCTCTTCTCTTTATATGAAAGAAATACATGAAGTTTAATATTCACATCCGACTTGATGGCACGTTTAGGGCTCTATGAATCAAGATGAAAGAACAAAAATTAGACGACGGAGTGATGAGCGAGTCTGATGCGATCATATGGAAAATCAGAGCTTTTCAACAAAACCATGAAAACTTCGTTTAAAATTTTTTTCTCGAATATATTTCTCAGTTTTTTTAGATGCTCTATCTAAGGTTCAAATTCCATGTGAACTGGTTGTATTCTCTCCAAGAGCTGGAAATAATTACAAAAAGGAGAGTACTTCTAAGCAAGTGCGCAATCTAAATTTCGATTCAAAATAGTTTCGAAGAATTGAACAGTAAAATTTAAAATGTTTAAAAATTTTCTGAAATTTTTATTTATTTTATTTTTATCATCAAATTGATCTCATAGATCCTGTCGGTACAAGTATTGAGAACAGCATGATTGAAGAATAAAAGAAAGTATGTAGCAACGAAGAACAACAAGCATGAAATAGAAAGAAAACATCAAAAGATGGAGAAAAAAAATGTAGCAAACATAAAATCTTAGATTGAAAAAAGAGGAGGAACTATTGGCTCGATAACTTGACGTTCCATCTTACTGTTACATTATTTTTAGATTTACAGAGGAGATAATGTATTCATTTTTTTTTCTTTACTGATTAAAATCAAATATTTCAGAAATGTCTTCAAATAGCAACACTTCTTCCATGTCATAATTGAAAACCAGGAAAGCCAAACTAATAGCTTTTTGAATTATTGTTGTATAGTCTAAAAATATCTTGGATATTCTTCAGCATGTTATCGACAACTCTCTTTGCGACCAAACATTTTTAAATATCATTCAGATTTGCTTCAAAACAGATTTCGTTCAATCCGTAAGTAAAACTATTTTCGTTTCATTCTGTACAAAACATCATTCGATGAATAGACGTTTAGGAGAAATGTGAAAGATTGTTTCTTTGTTTATCAGAGAAGAGTCTGTCCTATAGTAGGCATGGTTTTCATCTCTGTTAAAACCATCACTTGAGCTCTTCGTATATTTTTAAGAAAATAAACTTATAAGTTACTATTGATGACGATGAACATTGTATCTTTCGTTTTGATTAAAAATATTGATTAGTTGTTATATGACTTATTTTCTGATTTATATCTCAATAATACATTCTAAAATAATATGTGATATTCAAATCGAAAAGATTGATACTCGAATGCACTTTCTCAAAGTACATCTAGTTACAAAATGGAGATAAACACAAAATTAGTTAATTCAAGCGTCATTAAAACTTCTAAGCGTTTTTTGAAGTCTATAAAAATTCAAAAATAAAAGTGTGCTTTAATTTCTTTTCTGTTCTATATTTATGAGTTTTTTTTAGAAATGATTATATATTTCTAAACGACTTATCTGATTTTTTAAAAAAGAAAAACTATTTCAAAGAGTAGATTGTTTTTTTCTCAAAAAGTAATCAAAAAACTTACCTCAAAAGTGCATTCTTTTTCTTGTCATTTATTTTCGATGTAGTTGACATAGTCGGTTGTGAATTTTCATCATTCTCCAAAAATTGGTTCATATGTTTCATTTTATCCATTTTTGGTTGTTTTTTACTTGTTATATCTGATAATAAACTTGAATCATTATGAATTGAATTTGTACTATGATTTATTTTAGATGATCCATTTCGTGATATATTATTTGAATTAAATGAATTATTACAAAAATTTTCCATATGTATTTGATATTCTAAAGAAAAATATTTTCTTAATTGATTTTATTTTATCTTTTTTTTGTGTTTTTTCTTACCATTCAAATCCTCATGTAATAAATCATCAAGAATATTTTTTAATTCAATTAATTTATTTTTTCCTATTGCTGATATTTTTATTTGATTTTTAGCTTTTAAATTAATAACAAGTAAATCATTATGATATATAACGTTTGATATTGTATCTTTACTTAATGAATATGTAATTATATTCACATTTTGTGCACTAACTGTTAAACATAATGAATTTTCAACAAATATAAATTCAAGTAAAGCATCTTTTTTCTTTTGTAATTTTCCATGTGTTGAATCAATTAAACAACCTTTACATTTATGTTCATGCATTTTAACATTTATTTCTCTAGAATAAAAATAAAAATATAACTAAACATATAAATAATCATTCTGTTTTATTAGTGTCTTCTGTTTTGTTGATTTGACTTAATATTGATATACCAGTTATAATCAAATAAAAAGTCATATACATAGAAAATAGAACACATATAGAAAAACATCCAGTTAATATAGGATAATTTATAAAGAAATAAACAAGACCGGTTAAATCACGTATATTAAAATGTATTGAACATTGATCAAGTTGAAATGTTGATGGAATAATATTTAATTGAATTATTTCAATAAAACGTTTTGACTTTTCATGATTATTTAAACGTTCAATTAAAATTTGTTTTAAATGCCATCGATCATAATCAATATGAAATATAGATAGTGGTAAAAAAATAATTGTTCGTATTAAACGAATCATATCTGATTCATATGGATATAAAATTAAACGTGAATGTTCAATAATTATTTGTTTTGATGTTGAATTTAATATTAATTGAATAAAAAATGATCCAAGTTGACGATTTCTATATGAACGTGGTGCATAACAATTAACTTCAACACGATACGAATGAGATGATATATCAAGTGGATATCTATCATACATTGCATCGCTTAAATTAATATAACTAACAAGATATGATGGAAAATTTGTTGATGATTTAAGAAAAATAGAATCATCTTTTGGATTAAACGATGATGGAAAACCAAGAGGCATTGGTATAACAAGATGTGATATTGGTAATAAATGTTTTCGTAATGTTATATATGTTAGAATTGCAAGTAAAAATAAACATATACTACCACAAATAAATGTCACCAATGATTGTGTATATTGAAATACATTACGAGTACTAAGATATGTACCCATAATCTAAGGATAAATATAAAATAAATTGTTTTTCTTTCTACTATTGAAGTTCGTTTAAATGTATTTCGAACGAAAAAAAAAACAAACAAACAACAACAATAAAAATTTTTTGTCATACAGATCTATTGCACGATGATAAAATTCTTTTTTTTTCTTCTTTTCTTATTAAACGAAATACAACATCAATAAATAGAATATTAAAGAAAAAACAAAGAACAACAAAAATCAACAACAATTATATGAATAGATATTTTTGATATTTGTTGATTTTACAATTTTTATTCATTTTTCTTTTCTGTTGTATGATCTTCATAAGCAAACATGCTTGCCCAATCTCTGCAGACCAATGCTGTTATAAGTGGAAATATTAAACATAATGGTACGATATAAAGTAAGGCTGGTTGAGCATGTTTAAATATTTGAAGAATAAGTATTGTAATAATCAAAGCAATTATATATGCAATAAATGAAACAGTAAAATAAAGTGTTGATGCTTTTTTACCAGCTTGTTTACGAGACATATCATAACGAAGTAATAAAGCAATAAACGCACCGGGAACGACAATATCACCTAATGAATGAAAAGAATAAAAATATTAAATGAACTATATGAATTGATATATTAGCTTCTTCTTAAGTATTTTGAATGAAGAAAACTTGAGATTTTAAATTTTCATCAAGGTTTTTTTTTTTATATAGTTATTTCTTACTCTGTAAAAAGGACGATAGCAATTTACATTAATATGAATTCTTAAACGGTTAGTATAACTATAAGATTTATCCGATGCATTTCCGATTGTTTAGTAGTGTCATGAATTATTACAATATTTTCCACATGTAGACGTTCATCTATGTCTATGATTTGATGATTATGAGTAATAAATGTATTACTCGTCTATAAGTAGAATTGTTAGGCAATCGAGGGATGTATATTCTTCAGACATCAGTTCATGGCAGTAATTCACATATCTATGATCTCACAAAGGACGCAGAATTTATCGAACCTTCCATGAAGTAAGCAGAAAACAAAATTTCTGACTGATAAAACTATGAGATAAGGTATCACCTGTTTATTAGCATTATCATAGGTATCGATAAGAGAGGAGCTAAAGATGCTAACTCCTCCTAAATTTTAGTTATGTCTGCAAAAATGTTGACTAGCTGTCTGCCAATTGTGTGCTTCATCGCTGAATGTCTTGCAGTCATTCTTTCTGAATATTCATCTTAAATATATACTGCAGATGTCATCTCAAATTATCGCCAAAAGCTTTGATCGCCGAAATGTAAATAACAGGATTTCGGCGAAGAACATACTGTTCTGCCTGCAAATTTTCAGAAGATACTCCTCTTTCTATAAAGCAGTCTATCTTTAACTGCTTGCCAAATTATAGTACCTTTTACGCCTGAAAATCACCGAGAATACCAAAACTTAAAGACACACAAACTTTTTCAAGAGGTCATTTTTTTTTGAAAGCATTATTCTTCATCTCTGTTTGTCGATACTATATGAATATTTAAAAATATCAAGTTTTGCTTCTTCTCTATCATTTTAAGTAAACGATATATCTTAATTTTTAAAACAAACCTAATCCAAGCATGGCAAATTTATTTGCAGCTAATAATCCATTCTCAATTAAGTCTTGTGGAAAAAGTAATTTAATTGGTGCGTCAAATGATTTGGCTACCGTTATCATTACTAAAATAAACAAAATAATCTATTAAATAGAAGAAAAAAAAATATCACAAAACAAAATTCATTTACCATTTGTTCCAAAAACCCAAAAGATATCATAAACAAACAGACCACTAAGCAAAACAACTCCATTTAAAACCCTATCACACAAAAATAAATTCAATTAAACCTTTTTTTTTTGGTTCAAATAACAAATAATTTGATTTACTTATTAAAATGAAGAATTTCAATAGCATTAATTGAAAAAGCAATACCAAATATATTGTTTGCAATCCAATGTCGTTTAAGAAAATACCAAACACCAATTAAAACACAAAAAAATAAAGCTCCAACATCAACAAGATCAAATTTAAAATCTATATGCATTAAATCTTTTTCTGTTGTTGTATTTGTTGTCTCTATTTTTGTATTTGTTGTTTCTGTTGTTGTATTTGGTGGTTTATTTTCTGTTAATGTTATATGAAATTGTCTTTCACGAAGTTTATCCAATATAGGCAAACGAATTTTAATTAAAATTGGATGTATTGCTCGAAAAAGTGCAACAATACCAATAAGAAAAAAGTAAATATTAAGAACAAATGTTATATATTCTTTTGAAACAAGTAATATAACTAAATAAATACCAAATAAAAATCCACTTGCAATAAATGGAAACATAGCCGCTAGAAAAAAAAACAAAATTATTTTTTTTTATTTTAACATATAATCATGTTTTAAAATTGATTACCATCTTTCGCTGTTAGTACATCAGGTTTTTCACCTGATGTTTTTTGTTTATCTTTACGTGTTATTGACCGATATGAACCAAAATAAACACATAAAAGTGCAGCAAGAAGAAGAAATGAATATGATAATAACATTCCATCAGTACGTGCAACGAAAACCTCTTTTTGTGTTGTATTGGTTTCATTCGTTTGATTAAGAATATCAATTGTATCTAATAATGGTGATAATGTAGCATTTTCTACTGATGCAGCCATTTTCTCTTTGTCAAACTAAATCGATTAAGTCAAATACACGTATAGATGTTATGTTTACTAATTTCGAATGCAATCCACGATGCATAGGTTCGATTCGAGTACGAAATTCGACCAATCATTAATAAGAACAGATGTCACGATAATGATGAGTAATGATAATTAAACTGGAGAGCGATAGAAAGATAAAAAAACAGAACAACAATAATCGTTAAGTAATGAGAAAAAAACCAATGATATTTTGTTTTATTCTGTTAGCAACGGAAGTATGATGACGAAGTGGGAAACTGTGAAGCTGTGGGAATAGCGCTTGCTTAGCATGGTTTTTTTCTAATCCGATATCAAGTCACGAATTGGTGTTTCACAGTAAACAGAGGCTCGATGGGAAGTGTATTCATTATCCTCAACAAGTTTTTTACATATTACTTTGACAAAGAATTCAGAGATGGTTTAATTTATAAAATGTTTAGTTCTGTACGAATGTTTGAATTTTTGGAATTTTCGTAAAGTTTTCAAGAATTGATTCAAAGAACAATGTCGATAGCATTTGTTGATTATAATTTTAAATATTGGTAGTGACACTATACGGAATAGCGAGTATTTTTTATATGATTAACATGAAAAATCTTATACCAGTTCCCATTGATTCATGATGTTGAAGCGATCCATAAAATATGATAGCTAGAAATTTAGATTTCTTCTGATGATTTGATTATTAGAGTCATATTTTCATTGAATAAAATAAAGTGAGTGGAAAGAGAAAAGAAATGCTCGGATATTATAGATAGCTTTGTCTTGTCGGCACATAATTCTACGATCGGTCTAGGTTATATACAACTAAGTGTAAATAAGGATAATGACAACATAGATAATTATAGATAGACGTGTAAAAAGAATTCAGTTTTCATACTAAAATAAGATTTGTTTCGCCAAACAAAGTCAGTTCCTATTATGATTCAGCTTTGCCAACCTACTCATTCCACCATCCACAGATGTTCGTAGTTTTAATAATAATTGCCATAGGTTAACTCGAACTTATGAAATACCGGTGTTTTCCTAGTTGATATGTAGCATTATTTTCAATGAATCTTGCTTACACACTTAACTTTCAGTTATATTATTCATTGTATATTAAGATAATGATTATACAAACTAGAAAAATATTCACAGATTTTTAGAAAGATGAAAATTAATGTATTTGCGATGAATAATTCTTAGTTTTGAAGATTATTATTCGATATTTTTCATTAGAAAACATTTTATAATAATTCATAAGTATGTGTTGTCTTGAAAATCTCATCATGAAAAAGAATCATTCTTTTAATTTCCTTGAATCATTATAAGTGTGATAAAAGTATGGAATTTTTGAACGATGATTTCTCAAGACAAAATCACGTAGTAATAAGACGATAATCTAATTATCATGGAAAACCAAAAGATAAATGTATTTTTAAAATCGAAAAAAATTATCACTCTTAAGTCGATAACAAAACTTGTTTATCAGAATTGAAATTTATTAGAGTAATCTGAAAGACAAATCAGAACAAATATTGTTTCTGTGTTTTACAATGAAAAAATTTTTCCATAATGATTCATTGTCTGTAGGGAGAGTGTTAAAAAGAAATGAAAAATCGCGTAAATAATACACATTTGAGTAATTCTCAAACTATGATACGTAACTAGATGAATCTAATATTAGTTTTCAATCTAACCAATCATTTGAAAAGACAGATGGCATAATAACTATAAATCATTGGTTCTCGAAACGACTATAAATACTGGTAAGAACGAGAACAATCATATGTAAATGGAGTCAATGAAAATGTCAATAACTCTGCCGAATGTACATTTTAGATATAGTCCTTAAAGTATGAGTGCGATGAGACATTGATCGTCATTAAATGGCGTTTTTATCGAAAAAAATATAAATATATATATATATAGAATGACATTTGGATTTATGCATTTTGTCAAGACGATAGATCTGCTACAACTAGTCGATTTTTTTCTCTAGACAATAGACGAAAATAATAATAAAATATCTTTAAAAAATAAAAAGAATGAGTTCACATACAAATGATTTAATTATCGATGACGATGATGATGCAGAAGATGAAGATGATCCATTTTCAATGGCTGTTAAAGAATTATCAGAAACAAATAGACAAGCAGATGAAATTGCACGAGTAAGATTTATTTCTTAAAAAAAAACAAAAATTTGTTTTCTAATAAAAAAAAATAAAACATTTTAGCAACGTTCAATAGAATCCCAACCTTCAATACCTCCTAAACCACAATCATTTCCTAATTTATCTATACCTCCAACATCACCCATAACAATAACACGTCCAATTATTTTACATGGTCTTCATGCACCTGTACAAAATCGACCTATTATTCGGTTGCAACGACCAATTACAATTCCATCTGGTCTTTATTCAGTACCTCCAACTATTACTCCATTATCACAAAATCCATCTTCATCAACAACTATTGTTCATCAATTTATTCCTGCTTTAAGACCAACCTTACCAGTACCAACTGTATGTTTATTAATAATTATATCAAAGAATAATCATTTCTTTTCTTTTTTTTAACTTAGGAATTTCCAGTTAAAATTCCAACTGACATTGAAGCAGAAGAAGATGATGAAGAAGATCAAAGTGCACAAACAGCAGATACTTATTCAGATTATATGCCACTTAAACGTAAGTTTATAATTTAAAAACAAACAAACAAAAATTATAATTTTCTTTTTAATTTAGTTCGATTAGGTGATCGACATCCTGATCCAGTTGTTGAAACATCATCACTTGCTTCAGTTGAATTACCAGATATAAATTATCAATTAACAATTCCAGATGAAAAAATTCAATCGAATGCATTATCAGCTTTACAACTTGAAACAATTGTTTATGCTTCACAACGTCATAATACATTTTTACCAGATGGAACAAGAGCTGGATTTCTTATTGGTATTTTAAGTTTCAAAAGAAAAATTTTATTTATTAGATTGATTTTTTTTTGTTAAGGTGATGGAGCTGGTGTTGGCAAAGGTCGAACAATAGCTGGTCTTATTTATGAAAATTATTTACTTGGACGACGTAAATCTTTATGGTATGTGTGAAAGAAAATAAATTGAAAATGAAAAATGAATTTTATATGTTAGGTTGAGTGTTTCAAATGATCTTAAATATGATGCACAACGTGATTTATATGATATTGGTGCTCAATTTATTGAAGTTCATGCATTGAATAAAGTATTAATCGAAGAAAATAAATTTTTTTTTCTTTCTATCTTTCGTATTTTATTTAGTTAAAATATGCTAAAATATCTTCAGAACAAAATGGTGGAATAAAACGTGGTGTTATTTTTGCAACATATCCATCATTAATAAGTGAAAGTCAAAATACATCAACAAAAGTTAAATATAACAGTCGAATGAAACAATTAATTCAATGGTTAGGTGGTGAAGAGTTTGATGGTGTTGTAAGTTATATTTTGATAAATTTATATCAAGCTTTTGTATCTTGGAAAAAATTCTGAAATTAAAATTTTAGTATTTTACTAATGAGAGAGTCTCCAAGTATCGAGTCATTTTTTTTGTTGTCTTGACGTATCAAAGTTTTACTGGCTTTTAAGAAAAAGTTGTAGTCTCTCTTAAATCACGTGAGAGTTTCGATTTCAAACTTAACACAACTATTACTCATCATATGAATATCATCTCAATCGAAACGTGATTTGACATCTGAACAGGTTTTCTTGTAAATTATCGAATGTTGATCTGAAACTTTGTACATATAGAGAACTCGACAAGACTGACTTTCATAAACAATTCACAAGCTTTAAACAAAATCTGTTCGATATATGAAGCTTTCACAAGTGCATTTTATAAACTCTATCCTTGAAAAAGGGTATATATCTTGAAAGTCTCATATTTCGAAGACACTTAGTTGAAAACTTAGGAATTTTTTATGGAGGTTAATCTAGTTGAGTTCTTTATTTTCACAAAGCTTCAGACCGAAACTCGAAAAAATAGAGTTTTCCGAGAACCTGGAGTTTCAAAAAAAAACACATTAAAATTTCTATTAAAACATTATAGTGTCTAGAGGCCAAAAAAAGCCATTGAAATCAGAAGGAGACATCCAAGGAAACTTTCTCACAAATTGAAAATTCAATAGAATGAACCTCACTTAGCTCTAAACGCCTATGGAGATGAATTAAGGCGAAAAAAACGAGACTTCAATACTTCACTTGTATTTTGGAGTACTGAAGTCTTGCTTTTTTCTCCCCCGGAGTCTCTTATGTGTTGGGCTTTGAGAAGAAGAATAGATATGTCAATATTATTTTTGAGAGCTCTTCCATATTCAAGTAAGATGATTTCCTTCGATAATTGAATTGATCAATTGAGTTTCGATTAAAATAGTAGTATACATAAATAAAAATTCGACATACATTAATTATATATAATATTATTTCTTCTGTGAAGTTCATATATTAGAATAATATTTCATTATGATAAGAATATTCTTCACGTTTGTTTTCTTATTTAGATTGTATTTGATGAATGTCATAAAGCTAAAAATCTTGCACCAAGTCCAACAGCTAAATCTTCTAAAACAGGTTTAGCTGTTCTTGATCTTCAAGCTCGTTTACCAAATGCACGTATTATTTATGCATCAGCAACAGGTGCATCAGAACCACGCAACATGGCTTATATGACTAGACTTGGTCTATGGGGTCCAGGTACATCATTTACTGATTTTAATCATTTTATTCAAGCTATTGAACAACGTGGTGTTGGTGCTATGGAACTTGTTGCTATGGATATGAAACTTCGTGGAATGTATATTGCACGACAATTAAGTTTTTCTGGTGTACATTTTTCTATACTTGATGTTCCATTAACAAATGAATATCTTCACACTTATGATCGATCTGTTCAATTAGTAAAAACCAAAATACATACATTTCTATTTCAGAAATGTAAAATTTATTATTTTTTTTTCTTTCGTTTAGTGGACTGAAATAAAAGAAAAACTTTTACAAGCATTTGATTTAGCTGATACATCAAATATTGTTCGCAATCATGTAATAGCACGTTATTGGTTAAGTCATCAACGATTTTTTAAATATTTATGTATTGCTTGTAAAGTATCGAAAATTGTTGAATTATCACGACATGCTGTTCAAGATGGCAAAGTAAATTCGTTTTATTTTAAATATAGAATAAATATAGTATTTTTCTAGTGTGTTGTTATTGGTTTACAATCAACAGGTGAAGCTAAAACACTAGAACAATTAGATGAATTAGGAGAATTAAATGATTTTGTATCAACTGCTAAGTAAATTAAATTATTAGAAAAGTAAAAAAAATGTTTCCCACATTTTTCCTTATATAGAGGTGTGATTCAAAGTTTTGTTGAAAAACATTTTCCAACAGCCATTGAACAGCCTAAAACAATGCCATCATTATTTAGTTTGATGCGAAATATTGAAGATGATAAAATTCGACAAAGTAAAAAACGTAAATCAACACATCGTCGTACAACACGATCAATATCATGTGATACAAATGAAAGTTCAGATGATTCTGATGTTGAATGTTATTCATCATTTGTTCAAACAAATAAACGTCGTGCAACAACAAAACATCGTGATCAAAATAATAATAATCAACTTGATGAAATACATAATAGTGATAATGAAAATAGTTGTGAAAGTATTTTAATTGAAGATACATATTCACAACAACAACATACATTTGCTGAAATTCTTGGACAAACTGATACTGATGGGGGCTTGCCTATTAAACGAATACAAAAAAAAGACAATTCATCAACTGTACAGAATTGTAAGAAAATTTTTTGTTTATTCAAAATAAATAATCATGTTAACAGACAAAGCTTACGAAGGAAGATTATCCGTAGCTTTTAACTACCATGGGGTATGAGGATGCTACCTGGCGACACATTCAAAAGTCCGATATCTGTCCTATATCGATCACTAGCTGTAGCTCTGAACAGAAGAGCTGGCTTGAAGCAGAATTTTTCCACTCTCGACACGTACTAATTAATTACAAGAACAGGTGTATATCACAGCGTAATTAGCATACTATCGGACGAGACAAATAGCCATAGTGACTTGTTCAGCGACATTTGATGGCTGGTAGTACTGAGGCTTGCATGTAGTACCTTGTGGATACATGTAAAACAACGTCGACACTTACGAGGAAACTATCGCAACTGCCACTTGCCAATTGAGCTCATATTAGACTCACAGGCAGGTCTCAGTGAGATTCGCGATACTTTAAAAGAGTTCGTTCCTATAAGTCTTGGTCATTAAACTATTAGTAGTTGACTGGTTTTTTAAAATTCAGTTTTAGGTAGTCGCCAAAAAAATCAAATGGCAGAATTTCGATCAGAAATTTTATTTATAGATAGGTCTCCTGATTATTAGAATATTTTGAAAGATTCAGCCGAAAAAATGTTCCTTCGTCAAAATATCAAATTTCCAAAAATAGCCCTGTACTATAGGCATGTCGTACAGAGAGATAGTCCCATTGAAACTATTTGAAATCTTGATAATAACACTGTAATCGTACATCTAGATATTGCGATTATAGCTCGTTTTGTTTCTGCTAATCACTAAATTAACACGTAAAACGAAGTATTCATCAGTTCCTGTTACCCCAAACTCAATCGACCACCTAGATTACGACTGGAGTATAGTTTTAGAAAAGAACTCAATTAATATAAGAGAAAAAGCAACACAAAATATAGTATTATAGAAATATATCAATGGCTCATTTGAAAAAAGGAAAAACAGACAATCTGGGAAGAAAATATCGTACTTGGATGTACTCTTTGACCTGAAGTAGGGATGCACCTATTCCGCTTCGGGTCAATTCCAATTCTTGGAATCGACTGATATACGTTTGTACTTCACTGGAATCGATCTGATAATGAGTGATATTGACCTGAAATTCGCCGGGAAGTAGTCGTAATTGGCTTCGGTTAGGGTAGAAACTAACCATTTCACAGGTTGTACTGCACCAGTTACTAAGTGAGCGAATAGCAGCGAACTTTTGAATTTGAATCTATCGTCAAACAATGCCGTTTTTGGAGAAAATAATGATTTTCTATAACATTTGACCAAAGATTTCTGAGGACGTAAAATCTAAATTTGCAAGCAGTTTGTCAAAATTATGTAGTTCATTTCTCTGTGAAGTAAACTCTACTGCGAACATATATAATGAAACTGTAAAAACTCGCTAATTTTCCAAAAAATCCTTTATTTAGGGAAAAAATCAAGTACTGTATTTTGACAAACTGACTACAGATTCGAATTCTCCAATGCCAAAAGTCTTTGGTTAAACTGTATAAAAATTTGTTGTTTCCTCAAAAACGACTTTCCTTGAAGGAGGATTCAAATTCAAACTCTCGCCGGTATTCGGTTGTTGAGTTACTGACACACAGTAGCAGTCTGTGGTACAGTAAGTTCCTACCTCTAATCAAAGCCACTTTCGACCAATTCTAGACAACCTCCAGTTTAATTCCAGTCAATTCCAGTTCTAGCCGATTCTGACCTAGTCCAAGGCTAGAATTGGAATTGGAATTGGTGCACTTCGAACTTGGAGTACCTTTTTTCTCTGAATAAAAATATCAAAAAGACGCATTATGTTGATAGCAATAAGTTAAGAATACAAACTTTTTTCACGATATTCATAGGTCATTAGGGCTTAAATAATACTCATGGTCTCGATTCAAAAGTAATGAGTTAGTTAGAGGCTTCTCTCATAGATACAAAAGTAGGAGAGATTTTTAATCAATAAAATCATATTAAAAGGTACAGATAATTAGAAGAACGGTTCATCATGTTTTACTTGAAAATGTTAGTTTTTTCTTGATATTACACACCAGGATATATTCTAATTGTTTTAATTTATGTAGAATTTGAAATCTAAAATTTAATCTTTATCTTTTCAAAGACGATAAACGTAAAATGACCAATACTGAAATAATAGAAGCATTATTTAATATGAAAGTAGATTTATTAAATAATATCGAAATGCTTGGAAAAAATTTACCACCAAATACTCTCGATGAATTAATCGATCAACTGGGTGGACCATCTCAAGTTGCTGAGGTTTGATCATTTATATTTATTTACTAAAAACCAAAGACACAATCTTTTTTTATTTAAATATTTAGATGACGGGTCGCAAAGGTCGAGTAGTTCAACATGCAGATGGCCAAATTGGTTATGAATCTCGATCAGAAGCTGATGTTCCACTTGAAATATTAAATATTTCTGAACGTGAACGATTTATGCGTGGAGAAAAACTTATAGCTATTATATCCGAAGCAGCAAGTAGTGGAATATCTTTACAAGCTGATCGGCGTTGTCAAAATACACGTCGACGTGTTCATGTTACACTTGAATTACCTTGGTCAGCTGATCGGGCTGTACAACAATTTGGTTTGTTTATTTATTTATTTAATATTCATATTGAATTAAATATATCAAATTTTCTAGGACGAACACATCGATCAAATCAAGTTTCAGCACCTGAATATGTCTTCGTTATATCTGAATTAGCTGGTGAAAAACGTTTTGCTTCAACGTAACAAAATCAATTCATTTGATTATAATGATTATTAATTTTTATTTTTATTTATTTTATAGTGTTGCAAAACGATTAGAATGTTTAGGAGCTTTAACACATGGTGATCGACGTGCAACTGAAACACGTGATTTAAGTCGATTTAATATTGATAATAAATATGGCAAACAAGCACTTGAAAATGTAATACGTTCAATTTGTAATTTAGAACGTGCATGGGCGCTATTTCCGAAAATGATAAATAATGAAATGAAATTTGATTTTGTTTCTGAAGCACGTAAAGCTTTAATTGATGTTGGTCTTATTTCACGTGTAAATAATGGACAACAATCTATTTATATACCAGAAAAAGGCAAGAATTTAATTTAAAAAATAAAACAATAATTATATTTTATTTTTTGTTCTTGAATTTAGATCATAATAGTATGAGTCGATTTCTTAATCGTATTCTTGGAATTCGTGTTCATATGCAAAATTTATTATTTCGATTTTTTTCTGATGTACTTAATGCTGTGGTTGTTGATGCACGAAGAAATGGTTCATGGGATTTAGGAATTCTTGGTAAAAATCTTTTTTTTATTTATTTAAGGACACCCTTGAAGATCCGGTTCTAGGTGATACATAATAAAATAATGAAGAGAAAGGAGACCTGATAATTAGCAAGAATAATGTGAATAAATGAAGAAGTAGTTGATTAAAAATAGAAGTTAAATAATGAAGAAAAAAGGTGCATCTCTAGGTTTCACAATCAAAAAGTGAAAAAGATTTCTCACTTTTTTTTTTGAAACAAAACATTTTAAATGCAGGAAACAATGAAAATCATCTAACATATTTTACGAAAAAACGAAATGCCAAGTAATAGAAAATCATGTCATTTATGAAAGATCAGGGTCGATGAGGGACACTGCAGACCTCAATCAACTTGATCGGACTTTAGAAGATTTACGAAGACCTCAATATTGAGGTCTCTGCTGTCTCCTCCTCGATTAAATCTTTGACTAGGAAGGTGCGAGTTCTTTTGGGACTTGGATTCAGCTGGGTCCACAAAAACGTGGACCCGTAACTCGCTACATTAGACTGTTTTTCCATGCATTTATCTCAGTTTTCATTTTTTGACAAAAATTGATTTTTTTTTTGAGATGAGTAACCCGAACCATTGTTTTCTTTTGTTTGTAGATCTTGGTACAGGCGAAGAAACAGTTTCTGTTGAAAAAACTCAAGTATTTGTTTTACAAACAGTACAAACTAATACGACACCTCTTCAAGTTGAATTGCATCAAGTATATCATATGAAAATTACTTTCTTTGAAAATAAAAACTAAAATTTTTATTTTAGATTGTTGTTCAACGTGGTCTTGCATTTAGTAAAGCTGTTCAATTAGAAGAACAATCTATGAATCTAGATGATGGCTTTTATATGTCAAATGAAAATCGTCCTTATTGTCGTTTACCAATACTGGCTTTATCAACAACGGCAAATGTTAATCTTGGAAGTATAAGAAAAAGTGAACAATTATTTCGTATATATCGTCCTAATACTGGTTTACAACAACGATATGAAACATTAGAAAGTCTTAGAAAAAAATATGAAAAAGTAAATAAATTGTTCATATGTTTTCAATTTCTCTGTTTTTTTTTACTCTGAAGGTTCTTTCAACGCAAGTACAAGCTTATTGGGATGAATTGTATAATAAAACTGCAACATCATGTATTCATGTTATACGGTAAAACAAAAAAAAAACTTGGAATGATTTGTAGAATTTGATCTTTTTGTGTTTTCTTTTAGACAAGGTCATTGCCCAATTTCATCGTCAAATCCTCAACAAACATGTGAAGTTGGTCTACGATCACGTCGTTTTTTTGTTCTTTCAGGTAGTGTTCTTGCATTATGGTCACCAATGGAACGAATATTACCCGAAGGAAAAATTCAAATGATACGAATAAAAACAACACCACCTAATAATAACCAATCGATTCCATTGAAAATCGTCGGATGTATTATACCAAAACGATGTTTACAAGATTTGGTGCATTTGCTCGAAGAGTCATCAAAACACAAATATTTTAAATCAGCCTAGTCTCAATGTTTTTTCTCTGTTAATAAATAGGTCTTGAATCCGTCCAAGCAGCAAAAGAAAAAATGCTTCATTCTTTGGTTCAGTCTTGTCGATTACATTTTCTTTTTGTACACTGTGTGTTTTGTAGATGGACAGCTATGTGCCTTTAGTTAGCTGTTCATAGTTGCTTTTCTTTTTTTCCTTGATTCTTTCATTTCAAAGTCTGTTCTCTGTGTTTTCGTCTTGTTCTATATTACGGTGATGTGACTTATTGTTTATTCAGTAAAACAAAACAACAGAGATAAGAGATATTCTATCTGTAGATATATGAAATTTCGAATATTTCAGAATGAATATAATAGATATGTCGAGCAGTACTTTAATATTTATTTGTTTGTTAAGAATTTCATTTTATTGTTAAATCCCAAAACAAAGTTATAATATTAAATACATATATCTAATGTTAGGAAAATCATATTGTGAATTTGAATGTTGATCAGAGCTGCCAACAGATTACTTTTTTTTTGTTCAACTCCAATTTCAGAAGCGACTCGAGGCACTCTACTACAGACGTATGTTAAATTACTATAGTTTAGTTAATTAATTCATGTTTTTTTTTTGTTTGAAAAGAAGTGAAACTACATTTATAACTAGTCTTCTTTCTTTTCTCTCTTTCATTTATTGTCGTAATCCATTTTGGAGTTCTTCGAATCATTTGCATTTAAAATGTTTCGAAAACCAACTCAGTCTATAGCGTCATCTGACGTTTTCTTTTTTTTTTCTCCAGCAAAATTCCAGCAGTCAACTTCAACAAAAACTTTGCTGATCGGCCTTTTGAGTCATTGATTCCTCCATCTCATCCTCACGTTCTCGAGACAACTCTTGATAACATATATATATTTTTTTTTTTAGGTAGGCATGTACTTAAACTTAATAAAAGAAGTTGAGTATTTCAAACTTATTCTATTGATTATCAAGTATATCAATATACTGTTGCACTACATATATACAGAGATGTCTGCCTTTGATAATCAAACGGAGAATGATCCAATGAATTTGTTTATTTAAATAAGAAATTCAAAGAAAATTGAAAAATAGTCCAAATCCATATCCCAATGCGCTTGAATATTTTGATTGATTCTGGTACATAGTCTAACAACATTTTCAGAATTCTTTTTTCGACATACTCTAGCATTATTCGCCTGTTGACAGAAAAATATTGTGTCTCGTAATTCAGTAGATAATGGCATTTTTCTTCACTCGAGATAAATTCATACAATCTTGTGCTTTACTAAAAGTCAAGTGAAACATAAATTAAAGCTTTGTGACATGTGTCGAAAGACTTAATAAATATACATCTACGTGTTACAATGTTATAAAAAATGTCTCAATCACATCCAACAACCATTTGTACTTTCAATTTCAAAGCTAAATGTGCTACAAAAACACTGTTCATGTAAAAAAAATATGAGTTTTGTTTTTGTTCGACAATATGCCATTCAAAATGAAGTAATTATTAAAATATTGATAAATATCTTCTAAATTGTTTTGATTGTACAAATTTATATTTCTAATCGAATATTAATTTTGCCACGAAAACATATATATATATATCGATTAGATAAAGAATAATAGATTTGTTGAGATTAACTTATCAGTAATAATATTTATCTAACATTTGACCGATTCTCTTGGCTGTCTCGGCATGTTTTATTGAAAGATTATGTTAACAACAAAATCAAGAATCGAGACACTTAATGACTTGACGTTTTTACTATCTATAGCAGTGAAGTATACGCGATATCTAAGAGTGATTTTAAGAGCTTTAATAAAATTAGTCAACAATTTGAAACTGATTTTTTCTTAGTAATCGTACAAACTTCAAAATGATTTGTTAATTCTCTACAAAAAATAATTTTGAATTTTTTAAATAAAAGGCATCAAACTGTTTTCTCTATAAACATTTATTAAACAATCAAAATAAAAATTCGAATTCAAATGAATTTCTTGTTCATAAGAAAAATTTTTGTTGTAAATTATTATTGATTAAATAGTTTATTTAATATATATATGTATATGTATATATTTATTATAATCATTAAAATGAGCATGAATGTTTATATAAATTACCAAGATAAATTGACAAAATATTCTTTTTTTTTTAAAGAAAAATAAAAGGAACTTTTTCTACAATTAATTCTGATGTTAATATTCATATGGTGGTGGTTGACCCAATTGATCATTTGTTATAGGTGTACGGGGTGCAATAACTGTTTTATGCCAACCTGGTTGATAAGCATCATTTGACAATTGTTGTAAAAGATCTTTTTCACTTTGTTTTAATTGTATTTGAATCATTTTTTTCCATATTAGTGTTAGAATTACTAATATCAAACAAATTATAGCCAAACAACTTGCTAAAACAATCAATACATATAATTATTTACATAATAGAACCAAACAAAAAAAAAGCAACCAACGACTTACCAAAACCAGTATAAATCAAGCCAAGACCAGATTGAAAAAAAAGATGTTTTGTATCAATAATAAATTGTCCTGGAGTATAAAATGGTGTTGATGTTGTAAATAATATTGTAGTTATAAGTATAACTGTCAATAAAAAGGTTAGAAATAATAGAATCCCAATAAAAGCATAAATAAGCCGCATATAACGATTATTTGAATTATAATGTATAAGTATTGATGAACCCCATGATGGAAAAACTGTTAAATTTGAAAGATATAATGCACATGAAACTAACATAATAATAATATTAAAGGAATAGGGTCGAGTTTCTTCTGTCCATACATCACATTGAAAATCAGGATCATTATAATGACCATTACATATTGCCCATAAACCAATAGAACCATATTCAAGTAATCGGGAATATCTTGTTGTATTGAATACTGTTGATTTATTATTAATTTGAATTAATTCATATGTAAACCATGAATCAGAACGAAAACTTAATAAAAGTATAATAGCTAAAAATGTTGTTAATACACTAGCAAATGTTAATGGCCATTTTAAACGTGAATAATCATTTGCAGTACCACTCATCGCGATCACATCGCGCCATGCCATGTTGTCGGTGTATAATCAATGTATATGATTTCACATGACACTTTCTTACTAAAAACAATAACATAAATACATTATTTATACAATTATTTGTTTATATTAAATGATACCATAAAAATGTACAACACGAACGAATACTATCTTTAGAAGAATCTAGAACCTGTTTACTACATTTCAAAAGAATCTGATTCTATATACACGAGCTCAGTTAAAGTGGAGGGTAAGAAACAAAGGTATAGGAATAAAAAATGAAGTTCTCTAATGCGTATATATATACATATGTTAACAGAGACATATTCATCTATACCCTAAACATATAAATGCAGTTTTTTTTGTCCTTCTCTATCGTCGTTTATTCCTTTCTGTCACTTGATAAATATCCAAAAAAATCGTACGAAAGAAAAGAAAGGACAAAACATGGCATTAGTTGCAATTGGATTCAGTGATATATCGAAATAAATATCAAGTACACTCTGAAGAAAAAAGAATGTTATTCTTTTTATATTAATGTACATGTCAAACGAAACTACCCCCACATTATTTTTCGGACAATTTACTCTTATTTAACGAGCGATCGACAATTGCTTTTCTTTAGAATTATTCTTATGCATCGAAGACTTTTTGACAAACATCATTAACAACGACTGATGGATATTCTATCTCATTGAATCGTTACCATCCGATAGATGTCTTTCCCTTCCGATAGGATATTTTCCATAGTTTATTAATTTGGATGTGATTGCACCAGTTCAAATTATTTCACTATAGATAGTTGATTCATGTTGTTCATTATCGACTGGAAAGCGCGGCGTCTTTCTGTAACCGGAGCTACTTCTGGGGTCGGGCTGTGTGAATGACTTGCGGGCGGGAGTCCTGTTTGTCGTTGATCTATGTTGATCGAACGTCCGCACGAAGTTCGGTATCGACATGGTGGGAGTTGAGGAATCTCTCCTTCCAGGGCGTCTAAGGAAGGTTGAACCGGCTGAGGCGCGAATAGCGAGCAAGTCAAAGACCTCATGTCGAACAGTCGTGGGATAGCGCTCGTGAATAGACAGCGACAGGCAGCCCGTCCAATATAGTTGGACCAGAGTCTGTTTTTTTTCTTCTTCACTAATTAATATATTTTCGTTTTTGTATTTTGTTATAAATCTATGAAGATAGTAATTTAGTTTTTTTTTTGTAATAGAAACCAATCATTGTAATAGAAAAAAAAAAGTTTTAAAAATTTTGCTAAAAGATTTGAAGAATTTTATCAAGTTTTGATTGATCAGAATTTTGTTTTAGAACTTCTAGTCGTCACACATAAATAATTTGTCTACAACTCTTTTCATTGTTTCTATTCTAAAGATATTCTAAAGATATTCTAAAGATTCTAAAGATATCATCGGAAAGTTTTGAAACTTCCAGGACACATAAATCTTGATGAGTTGAACAAAAGTGTTCAAGGATTGAAAATTCTCAGAGACTCTCTTCTATAAAATATTGTGTTCCAAATTATTCTACTTCTTTTCGCTTGTTTTCTTCCAAGATATTGTGTTCGATCAAGTTCAATTTTTTTTTTTGACACATATCTAAATATTTTATTTACATATGATAATCAATAGAAATATGAATTATTTTATTTTAAATTGCTCTTATTTATGAGAAAACAAAAACCATGTGTTCAGCTATAGAAAAATCGATGAATTAAAACATAGAATCTATTTCAAGAGACGAAAAAAAATAAAAAGACAACTTTGAACTTATTCATTTCAATATAAATCGATTTTCATGAAGTTGTTTTTTTTCTAAATGAGAAAATATTATTTGGATTTTTATAAATATCAATAAGTAAAATACTTGAGAGAAAAATTCTGTTTACTCTAATATGCAAAAAAAATCATTTTCTCTAACAAAAACCATCTCCATAATAATGTCACCAAACTAGAAATATGTTTGTTATATGGATAATAGGATGAGAACAACATCTAATCATTTTGATTTCTGCTGAATAAAACTCTAACTCAACATAAATAAGAAAAAGAAAAGAAACAAAAATACCTAAAAAAAGAAAAATGAAAAATTTGTCTACTTGCATAAATTTTAGCATTTACTCTACATTTAAATATTCGTTGTATGATAGTTTTCATTGACTAGTTCTATAATTATGATTAATTTCTTAATTATTTTCATTTTCTTACTTTATCATTTCTATTATAATGGCAATTTTTGATGTCAAAGAATATAAGAATACGTCATGTTTATTCACATGTTCATCTTGTTAGGAGAACAAAACATAAATAATCTTTTATTTTCTTTTTGGCACTTTGTTATTTATAGGTCAAGACCATTCATTTTTTACTAATTTTTTTTTTTCTTACAGATATTTTTGTAAATTCAATGATGTCGATAAAACTAGTGAGTCAAATTTATACTGATGATTTCATTTTGATGACAAGATATTATGATAAATAATGATTTTCGAATACAATAGAAATGTTCAAGTTGAATTGTTTGATTTTTAATTAGTGATATGTCAAAACATAATGTACATGTCTTTTTTCTTCTTATTGATATTAGAAGAGTAAATTCTAAAAAATTAACATGTTTAAATAGAAAAATGATTAAAAAACGGGTTTCATCTTATATAAAGAGGTTTTAATGCATTTATATATATAGATATATATATATAAATCGAGTAGAATTGACATATGATTTATTATTTTAATTCTCTTATAATTATAATTCTTCTTTTCTAATGATAACAAGTTTTTTAATATGATCTGATATTTTATAACAGTGAGAGAGAGAGATTTCCATTAATCAATAGAATCAATTTTCTCCATTTATTTATTCATTTGTTATTAAAATATAAAGAGATATGAAAATAAATATTCAAACATTCATATTGTTCTTAATTAAATGAATAATGTACATCCTTTTCAATTTATTAAATATATAAATTCATAAAAAGTTCTAGTTAACTATTCTATCATATGTGTTATGATAATAGTTTTTTGATTTGATCTATTGACTCATCAAGTAAAATAACAAAAATTTTATATTAAAATAAGAAATATTATTTTAACGAAAAACAAAATTATTAATGATTGAGATATTTTCTTGTAGACTTTTTCATTTTAATTCTTTTATATATATTATTTTAAGAAGAAAAACAAAAATTCTTAAAATAAAATTCAACTTAAACTAATAAAGAAAATGAAATTATTTCAGTTACAATTCATTGTCTATAATAAGATAAGTTTACTTAAAAATAATTAATTTATTTTACATAAATAAAACCAAATAATAAAATGTGCAAATATTAATATTGATTTTTTTCTTATGATAATACGACAAAAGAAAATAAACGTGAACTTATTTCATCAAGTATTATTATCTTGTTTTTTTTTTCTTTCGTCTCATTGTAATAAGAAAAAAGATACAAGAGAATAATATTAAGAATTGTACATTTTATTATTTTGTTTTTATATTTCAATATAAAACATGAAAGTAGACAAAAGCAGATATTTTCGAATATATTTGTAAAATAAATTCCTTAGTTTATATAAATTCATATTATTATGAAAGAATAATTGAAATTGATTTAATTCAAAGTTTTGTTCTATTGAACATGGAGCAAAAAACAAAACAAACAAATAATTTACTATATAAATTGTGTAGACATGAACTAGCGTTTACTAAGGATATATAGAAGGATAGCAGGGAAAAAATATCGATGATTAGAGTTTTCATTCTTTGGGTTAGATATTTAAGTAAATAGTTGTTTTTTTAGTTAAGTAATTTATGATGCGCGATTCACTTTTGTTTTTTATTCAATATTTGATTTTAGAGAATTTTTGCAATATAATTCAATTTAAAAAATATAACTATCTTTAGGATTAATGAGAAGAATAGCTATAATCCAGATGTCTGTGATATTACAAGAAATAGTAAAATACAGTGTTTACTAATAATGAATCGACTAAATGTAACATTGATTCATAGAAGATCGAGAGCTAACGATCATAGAATAGTAACAGTGTATTTTCATTCTGTTTTTCAAGAATAAACTTATAAGCATGTTAATGTAATAAATCGACGAATAGGTTCAGAATAAAAATTTTGTTTTTTATGTTCTCTCATATCGTTTAACCAACGAAAATATCATTTAAAAAAATTGATAACTCTAATATTGCAGTTCTCGTTCATTATAAATATAGTGTTTAATATATCTTTATTCTTTTGTGTGAGAGTTTTTTTTCATTATTTCGAAGGTAAAATATAAGTTGAAAAAGAAATTTGCTCTAAATCTATTTGTTAATTATTTACATCAATGTGCCAATGAATCTATTCTTCGAAAGAAAAGCTGTTAGCGCAATCCCTTGCAGGATTCAAAATGTGAAACACGATGTAACTGCTGTTTCAAATCTTTTGAAAACTGTTCTTTTCAATATATGTTGGGGTATATTTCTTCACCATGGATTACTTTACATTATATAGTTCAAACAGGATAATATTTCAAATATGCTCTAATCATATGTTAGTTATACATTATCTGATAGTTGCTTAAAGTCTTCTATCACAGTCTGTGGCTTGTATAAGGCTGTCTGTCACGTCTGTGATGGGGCGTTGCAAAGAATGTCTGTCACGTCTGTGGGAGGGGGGTAGTGGGTGCAAATTTCTACCCCTATACATTTCAACACTCCTTTTAGATCGTGTTTCACAAAATGAAACTAAACTACTATTTTATGATATATACCCATGGGCCGCATTCAACCAATAGGATTTCAGGAGGCAATGATTTAGCCAATCAGAAGTTCCATGAGTCAAGCACTCAGCCAAAAGGATTTCAGGTGGCAGAAATTTAGCCAGTCAGATGTTTTTCGAGCCCTGCTCTGAACCAATAGGATTGGGTGGGCTCGGATTATGAGGAATCCCAACTCAAAAAGTCAGACGTAAGATCTTGGAATCAGAAATCTAACCGTGTATGATCTTGTAATATCAGATGCCAATCGTGCGAG